TCTTGAGTTTCCTTTCTAAATTTATATTCTTTTATTCATCCATGTTTCTCAAGTAATTCATAGGCTGCATTCCTCTTTTCCTAAACAAAACTAGAGTGGAGTGTGGCTGTAATACTTTACTCTATATTAAGACTTTTTAAGGAAGTAATGGGAGCTCTGGTAGCATAGTGGCTAAGGCACTTGACTGCTAACCAGAAGGCTGGCGGTTCAAACCCACCAGCCACTCCTCGGAAGGAAGGTTGGGCAATCCTACTTCCGTAGTGATACTGCCTCGGAAACCCAAGGAGGGGTCGCTATGAGTCAGGCTGACTCCACGGCACATAACAACAACAACAAGGAAGTAATAAAAGTGTTTCTTTCTCCTGTAAGGAAAGGTCATAGACTAGAATCTGAATTCCCTATAAAATGAATACAGATCAGTTAATATTTTCTCTATTTTATTTTGGTATATCTTATGAATTATAAAGAATTTTTTTGTGATGCTGTTTTCAGAACTTATTATTTTTCCAGCATCAACATTTTATTTTGTGCTTTCCACTTGTGTAAAATAGCAAAGTATAAAACATCTCAAAAGCACTCCATGCAGACTCCTTCCATCTCTTGAGTACTGTTGTTTTTTAACACTAGCTATTCAAGTGTGCACACACAAAGTCAGCAAACCTAAGCAGATGTGCACACACATTACACACATTCTCACTTCCCTTTGACTGCCCTGTAAATGGTCAGAACAGGATCATAATGCACAAATCTTTCTCTGAATGTTTTCTTATGCTAGATCAGTTCCTCCTGAGCTCTGTGCTTGCCAATGCTAAATTTCCTGCCAGGGCAGTAGTCTATTTTTAACATTTTGGGGGTTTATCCTTTGCTCCAAATCTAATAGGCATATTCCGTGGAGTTAAAGAGAGAAAGCTGATTGGGTGCACTTAGAAATCATGGATCATCAGGATTTGCAATTTCTGCAGAATCAAAGATATGAATGAGAAAGACAATTAGAATACTTAAAAGATCATTTGTCACCGCTTTAATCTTCATGTATTTTTTTAGTCATCATTTTCTTTGACTAAAATTATTAGAATCTTTGTCATATTCATCTCCAGCCCAAATGAGAACAGTGGCACTCATCTCTACTTTCAATATTTTGGAGCATTTTAACATGTCATACTAGATTATAGGAGGTAGGCAACTCTTTTAATAGAGGGAGTTTTAGCTTGTGGCATATTCAGCATCATATAATCTCAGTGTCATTTCTCTAATTCCATATTTCATATACAAATGAAGACTGAAAGATTTATTTGTTATTTAATAGCATTTGTTTAATTCAGAGATTAATATATCGTCTTCAACCCTGAAACAGAGGCCCTCTAAAACATCGGACCCCGAAAGTTGGACACAGCCTACTAGCCCAAAAGAACATGTTGCTAATTATTTTGCTGTTTATTTAAATATTTAGCTCTAAAGGAAGCAATCATTCCTTTATACTTCTTTAAATTTAGTATTGACATTTTTATTTTGGGACAGGAGGTTTTTTTTTTTTTTTTTTTTTTTTTTTAAACATGGATACAGGAAAAGAAAACCCTCCAATAAAAATATTGTCTAAAAAGTTTGTTTTGTCTGCATGATTTACTAAATATGTACAATTTCAATTCACAGCGAAGGTAACAAAGATTTAAACAGCCAACATCACAAATGTCTCAAATTCTAAAAAAAAAAAAAATCACTGTGCACAATTTAACAATTTAATTGAATAAAAACCAAACCTAAGCCTTCAGTCTGAATCTTTTTTATGATGGGTACAAGCCATTTATTTTCTTTATCTTTGTTACACGATGCGTATTTCAGTGACTAGAAAAGCCCCTCCCCTTTTTAGTATATTAGGTTATGTCAGTACATACTTAGGAAAGGCATAAATTGCCTCTTGGTACACCTATATGATTTGTGATCTGTTCACACATGTCATATTTATTAATATATAAAATGATCAGATGAGTCACCTGTGATTTTTTTTGATGCTTTCAAATGTAGGAGTGTTTTGTGTGTATATAAAATTTTAAAAATTTATAGGACTACTACTTAAAGCAGTAGCAATTTGATCAGTGTCCCCTTGATGTAAGATGTCTAGAAAGAATTACTCTGCTCTTGAAATATAGATTTCATATTTCTATCCAATTCAGATTTGTAAAGTTCCCTATTATCTGAATCTGAATGTTGTGGTCATTCTGATATAATGATCAAGTGAGTGAACCAATTAATCATTAGAAACAAATGTCACTGAATATAGAAGAGTTGCGTTACAGTTAAGGAGGGAGCCACAACTTTGGCTACCCTATTAAATATATAATAAGGTTGTATTCAAATATATATTTTTTTTCCCAAGTAAATTCTTTGGTGGTTTCTCTCTCTCTCTCTCTCTCTCTCTTTGTAGTGCTGTGATTGATGAACATGTAATGTGAGATTCAAATAATTGCACCATACATGTTTATTTGAATAATTGCCCCATTCCACAATCAAATAAATCTGCTGAGTATGTTTGTTTGAATGTTTTTACATTTACATGGGATCTCATACTCAAATAAATGCAGCTGTTTTTATTGCAATGAATGGTGCTCTAGATATACACATTCTTGTTTG